CCACTTGAACCCAGTGAGAGTTTCCTACAGACGAAAGAGGAGGAGAAAGAGGAGAAGCTACAATAAGAGACTAGCTGTCCCACTACCCACTAACTGAAAACTGGATCCTTTCAACTTTAGCTATTGATCGTAATAATTTTGATGAAACTGTACTGCATATTAAATGGACTTTAGAGCCTTTGAAATAATAACAAAAAATTAATACAAATTATTAAAAAATTTTAGTTGACTTACCGTCAAAACTTTTGTTATTTTTTAAAAATTTCCATGGCCCACCAGCCCAACATGCTCCCAATCTCATTGCCAGTAAACACTCACCAGTTGCCCCTCCCTCCCTCATTAGTATTCCCCGGTTGTTTTTCCACCAAGGCCAGTCTATCAGGATTAGGATCATTAGCAATAATAACTGAATGACTGTGAGCCTCAGCAGTAGATATTGAGAGAGATCCTAATAATAATAATAATAATAATAATAATAGTCGAGGTACTGATCCAGGGTTGATCACTCAGCACCTTTTCCAGAAGCTTTCGGTAGTGCTTTGGCGAGCTAATGCTCATATGTGGCTCTGCAGATCTCCTCTCCTCCCCCCTGAGGTGGATGGGTCTATTTAACTTTTGTTTACTTTGTTTTCTTTTTGTCTTTCTCTCGGGTTCTCCCTCTCCTCCTTTCTATATATTTCCTCTCTTTTTGTTGCCCTTTTCTCTAATAATAATAATAATAATAATAATAATAATAATATTATTATTATTATTATTATTATTATTAATAGTAATAATAAATAATGATGATATACATTTACATGTACATGTAAATATGTATCAGAAAATGTAATAAAAATTGGGCATGATTTCGGAGCCATTTTTGGAAAAACCATGGGCTATACCGTACGGTTGGTAAATTTCGTGGGGTATTAATTTTCGTTAATTTCGTGGTTTATTTTTATCCACGAAATTTTAACCCCTACCCACCCACACATAAAAGCTAATTAACGGGCCATGCAGAGCTCTAACTACTATTTTCAAGCCAGTAGAGGAGCCAGAGTTCTTGTCTGTTACTCCATATTCCACCATAAGCCATGTGTTGGAAGCTAGTCCAGTAGATCCAAGTGAAAAGAAGTTTGCTAACTACCACCCACGAATATTTGTACCCACGAATATTAGCTTTTAAGGACATTTTGGAGAAAACACGAAATTTTGGACCCTCGAATATTACCAACCGTATGGTAGTACAGGAAATTTTTCAAATTTTGGCTCATTTTTTAAAATGGCCGTAACTTTAAAAATTGAAGTTGGAGTCAGCTCAAACTTTTTACACAGCATAAGGACATCAATATTTATAGGAAAATATAATAAAAATTTGGGGTGATTTTGGAGCCATTTTTTGGGAAAAACCATGGGCTATAACTGTTTTCTGTTTATGTTTTTATTTATGTACTCTCATTATTATTTACTATTTACTTTAGGTGGCCAGTCTTGTTACTGTGTTAGCCTTCAATACAACTTTTTTTTGTTTCTTTCCTTTTTGTCACATTTTGTAGTATACTAGTATGTATTGTAAAGTTTATTAATAATAAATAATAATAGTAATAATAATAGTACAGGTAATTTTTTCAGATTCTAGCTCATTTTTTAAAATGGCCGTAACTTGAAAAATTGAAGTCGAAATCAGCTCAAACTTTTTACACAGCATAAGTACATCAATATGTATCAGAAATGTAATAAAAATTTGGGGTGATTTCGGAGCCATTTTTTGGAAAAAAACCATGGGCAGGACAGGGAATTTTTCAGATTTTGGCCCATTTTTTAAAATGGCCGTAACTTGAAAAATTGAAGTCGGAATCAGCTCAAACTTTCTACATACATGTAGCATAAGTACATCAATACGTATCAGAAAATGTAATAAAAATTTGGGGTGATTTTGGAGCCATTTTTTGGGAAAAACCATGGGCTATAACTGTTTTCTGTTTATGTTTTTATTTATGTACTCTCATTATTATTTACTATTTACTTTAGGTGGCCAGTCTTGTTACTGTGTTAGCCTTCAATACAACTTTTTTTTGTTTCTTTCCTTTTTGTCACATTTTGTAGTATACTAGTATGTATTGTAAAGTTTATTAATAATAAATAATAATAGTAATAATAATAGTACAGGGTAATTTTTTCAGATTCTAGCTCATTTTTTAAAATGGCCGTAACTTGAAAAATTGAAGTCGAAATCAGCTCAAACTTTTTACACAGCATAAGTACATCAATATGTATCAGAAATGTAATAAAAATTTGGGGTGATTTCGGAGCCATTTTTTGGAAAAAAACCATGGGCAGGACAGGGAATTTTTCAGATTTTGGCCCATTTTTTAAAATGGCCGTAACTTGAAAAATTGAAGTCGGAATCAGCTCAAACTTTCTACATACATGTAGCATAAGTACATCAATACGTATCAGAAAATGTAATAAAAATTTGGGGTGATTTTGGAGCCATTTTTTGGAAAAAACCATGGGCTATTATAGTACAGGGATTTTTCAGATTTTGGCTCATTTTTTTAATGGCAGTAACTTGACAAAATTGAAGTCGAAACCAGCTCAAACTTTCTACACAGCATCAGGACATCAATACTAATAATTGTTATATTCGTTTACCTCCTCCTCCTTCATCTTCATTTTCTTTCTTTGATGGTTTCTCTTCTTCTTCTTCTTCTGCAATGTAACTGTCTTCCTGTACTGGTAATGGAGTCACTGGAGTCCTCCCTCCAGTCTCTTAATAAACTAATAAATATAATTATTATTAATTAATACATACCAATGGCAGGGGCATCCTCTTGTCCTGTTTCAATTCCACATTCTCCTAAAAATAATCTAAAATAATAATAACAATTTTATAAATTAATAGTAAATTTAATCCTTATAAACAATAATAATACAATTGTACCTTTCCCTAAATTCCCTCAGTTAATCTACTAATACAATTATTATAACTCACTTTGTATGTTATCAGCTGCAGGTCTTTGTCCCAATCTCCCTACAGCATTAGCTAGTGATGGTGGGTCTCTCATGTTCTATGATCATTAGATCTTTCATATCCAGTTCCAGTAATACCCCTAGTCTCAGCCACTCTGTACCAATGTCTGCATGAGTTCGTTTAGTGTTGGATTCAGTGCAAGATTCAGTGTCCTCTGGTGTCATGTCCTCCAAGTCCTTTGCTTCTGTGTACTAGAACATGCCCCCGTACTTCTTAATTGAATTAATGTGTGGGATTATGTTTTAAAAAGATACTATTAGCATACATGTAATGTACAAAGGAATTGAAAAAGAATCAAAAGCATCATTACAATAATTAAAAATAAGGAACTGAGTGAATCACTAGCAGGAGGAGGAGGATGGTCAGTATAATATTGTGAACACAAAAGGTTAACATTGATTAACTTAATATGTACATGTATTTTACATATCCTGTGAGGAGGATACATGTAATGTACAAAGAAATTGAAAACAGTAAAAAAAAAACATTATACTAATAATCAAATATTAAAATAAGCAGCTGCTATCATTCTTTCTAAGGGCCGAGTGCTTTATTTAGCTTATCCCTTAATCTTTAATAAAAGATTAATAATTATCATAAAAGTATATATAAAAGTTAGAGTACATATCTGTCATTTGTAACTCTAGCCTTCACAACTTCTAAAAATAACAAAATTATACATTATAGCGATATATGTATAACCAACATAAATGTATTATGTATAAGTACATGTACATGTATATTTATAAAAAATCTAAATTTGATCAGAATGAGCTCAAACTTTCTATGAAACATTAGTACATGTATTATAATAAAATTGAATAAATCTCCTCCTGCTTACCTGCTGCTTTATATTCTTCAATGTTTTCAAGTGCTGCAGCTAATCTGTTCCAAGTTGCCCTTCCTCTCCTCAACCATAATGACAGCATCTCCTGTAATCGTCTGTGAGCTGTTGGTCTATCAGATTCAATAACTGATAAATCATTGTGGATTAGATTCAAACTGAGACCGAGATCAAGCCAGCGATGATCGGGAAAAAAACCATCCTTTAACACATCAAGTATCTCTTGTAGATTAGTGACATCAAGACTGATATCTGGTAGTTTATATAACAATACCAATACTGTATACTGTTATTAATAATACCTTCATTGACTTCATATTCAGACACACTATTTACAAGAAAACCAAAAACAACAATAACAACAACAATACAAACAACACCTCCTCCTAACACAGTCCAGTTACATGAGCTACCTACAGTGACAGTAAGAATGGACTGGGTACTAGTACTAGTCAAACCTTTCTTGCCTTTATGAGAAGGAGCCTTCTCTCGCTGTTCCTGTGGTTTGGGTGGAGCAACATTTGGTCTTTGTCGAACTACATAAAGTAATGGAAATTGTTTTAGAAAAAAGAATGGACTATAATAACTAATAAAAAATTTTTAATATCAGCCAAAACTTTCTATATTTTAGAAAAAATCATATGCTATAGTACAGGGATTTTTTCAGAATTTTGGCCTTTTTTTAAAATGGCCATATAACTTGAAAAATTGAAGTCGGAATCAGCTCAAACTTTCTACACAGCATCAGTACATCAATACTAATAATTGTTATATTCGTTTACCTCCTCCTTCTTCATCTTCATTTTCTTTCTTTGATGGTTTCTCTTCTTCTTCTTCTTCTGCAATGTAACTGTCTTCCTGTACTGGTAATGGAGTCACTGGGCTCCTCCCTCCAGTCTCTTAATAAACTAATAAATATAATTATTATTAATTAATACATACCAATGGCAGGGGTATCCTCTTGTCCTGTTTCAATTCCACATTCTCCTAAAAATAACTTAAAATAATAACAATTTTATAAATTAATAGTAAATTTAATGAATATTAATGTATTTTACATTGTTTCATAAAGAAACAGGAAAATGAAATGAGTGAGATGCACATTAACATAATAACAGACTGTTGCAACAACAATCTAGATCAGGTCTACCATACAAGATGATTTATTGGCAAGGGATTAATATTGGCAATTGGCAGTTCTATGAAGAAATCGCCAATATAAAATCCGCCATTTTGTTTCAATCTGAGCATGCTTAATGGCACATGGCACAAAATCGCTAATATAAAATTTGCCAATTTCTTTCCACAGGCAAATTTGTCAAATATTACTCCCACCAATAAATCATCTTGTACGGTATCTACAACAGTAAGTACAAAATGCATACAACAGCCACAATGGCACCAGGTGAAAAATAATATAATTAATTTTCACCTTCACTAGCAACACTAGCTCCACTTTGAGGAAGAGGAGGCTGGACAGTAGCAGTGTCTTCTCCTACTGTGAACACAAAAGGTTAGCATTAATTGACTTTATATGTACATGTACATACCTAGTTCTTTAAGTATAAAATTTCCTATCTGTTTCACTGCTGCACCTTGTTGAGTCAATACATGACACACTTTAACTAAATACTGTCTTTTATCATTAAAAGCTTCTAACTGACCCATGACATCAGTCATTACTCTATCAGCTTTATCAGCATTAGCTACACCAACTGTTGTCACATATTCTCTAGTCCCTTGTGTTATTAGATCCTTGGCAAACAATGCTTTAGCTACATCACCAACATTAGCTGATATTGCCTTGGGTAGCTTAGCTGAGTATTGCTGTAGTATCTCTTTTGGATCTACAAGAATATGACATAAAAATTAACACTATCATAGCAGTGAACAGTGGGCACATCTGAGAAGATTGGACTATTAAATCAAAAAATAACATAATTCTGATTATTTACTAACTAATTGACTTGTATTAAGGATTGCATGTATATGAATTAATGCCAGGTAAGATTGGGAATGTGATCAATTTAACAATCAAGTGACATACCTTTGGTTTCCTGTGAAGAGCCAGTGCTTCCGGTCTCAGATACACTTCTTTGTGGAGTACCTTTACAATTAATACATTAAACTAGTATCAATGAATATTAATGTATTTTACTTTGTTTTGTAACAGAAGCTGATTCATCATTAGAAGGAAGAGTGTTTGGTGTATTAGCTGTGGAAAAAAATAAAAATAAAAATGATAATAATATTAATCATAATAAGGATACAGTAATAAATAACTCACCGTTAAGCCAGGAGCTCCATAACTCTATCTTATGTTCCCATTCAGTAGGTGGGTCATCACTGCAGATATGTGGGTTCTCACTGCATCGGAAGATATGCTCTTTATTGACAGTTTCAACTTCAACTGTATGCTTCTTCCCTTTAGCCACACCTCCTCCTCCTCCAGTAGTGCCACGCTGACATGAACAATAAAACCAGATCTCATGACTTGCACTAAGATTGTGCTTTTCAGCTGCAGAAACGATCGCCATTTTGACATCTTCCCTGACTATCCCTTCCCCTCTCTGTTTCTCACAATGGACTTCAATGCAATTGATCTGTTCAACTAGAGTAATGTAGAATGACGCAACCCCTTCTGTACGATATTTCAATTCGATGAAATTTGAGAAATTACTTTCTATCGAAACTATTTCGTAGCAACAGCTGGAAAGAAGATGAGTAACAACAGAGCAGAAAAGGCCCATTGGGGTAGCCTTCTTGAAGTAAAACAGCAATGGCTCACGATTCTTATAAGGATTAATATCTGTAACATCTTTTACTAGAAGGAGAGCTGGTATGAAATATTTATCATCTATTTGTGTAGCTATTGAGAGCTCCAGGAAAAGATTCAGCAATTTCATTGCAATATCAACAACTTTTAGCTTTTCTGTGATGGGGTCAAGTTGTTCTTTACAAATCTCTTTAAACTTGGACTCTGAAAGAATCCCCTTTATAATGTCATCATCTCCAGCATATCCTTTATTGGAGTGAACAACATGAACATGCCTGACCAGCTCCTTGAGAATACCGATGAGACTGCCTATGTTAACAAACACCAGGTCACTGCAGGCTTTAGAATCATGATAATAAATGATACTGTTGATATGGTGCAAGAAATTAAGAGACTCCATAACCTCATCTTTTGAAAGTTTTAAATCTTCCCCAAGACTTTTGCAGGTGGATAATCGCAAGATACCACATCCCTCTTTAGCTGCAACGCGAAGTACAATATCAAAGAAGTAGTAATAAAATGGAATGTTGATTCCTTTATCATCTTTCGTTAAGATCTCATCTACGTCATCCAAAGAACTCTTCGTGTTCATAAAATTTTCCTCCTCTCCTCTTTCTTCAACAGCTACACTAGCGATACGACCATCAATTTCCCGTACACGAACTACACGATGATCTTCAATTGATTCACAATCATCATTTCCTTTTATTATTTCTGCCAACTTTTTTGCTAATATGCGTTTAGACTCTGCTACATCACTGCATTCATCTCCATGTGTACCAATTGTGAGAATCTGCAATTTCTTTGGAACCAAATCTCGTAGAACTTCATGATCTTTATAGCTATCCCTGAAATGCTGCATCCCAGAAGCTATTGATGAAATAATTTGCTTCAAAACTTCTTCGACCGTCAATCTGGATGGACTCCCATCACTGTGATCCTCACCTTCAATGTGCATCACTGCAGTGGAGCCGCTAGACAACTCTTTTGAAATATTAACAACCAGAATAAGAACTTGAGCAAACGGCATAAAAATTGGAAGCAACTTTTGAAAAGCGATTTGACCTCCTGTATCAACGAGGTATAGCCATTGAGCACCTTCAAGACGATTCTCCTTCCCTGAACACTCTCGCACTCCGTCAAGTACCTTTTCTACTTCTTTACTCAGCAAACTTTCCTTTTCATCTCCAGGTGCTTTATTTCCATCTCCAGGTGCTACATCTCCATCGCCAGGTCCTTCGGTGACTTCATCGTCAACAAATCCATCGTCAGTCTCGTCAGCTGTTTCATTTCCTCTGGTCAGTTTCTTTTCATAGATACTTTTCCTGACCTGATTTTCTACTGGAGAATTGGTCCATTTTTCTACTGCATCTTTTTTCAAAGCGTTTTTAACAATTTGTTCTAACTCTGTGACATCCAATAGCTTGTATCGTTTCCCAGTATCTCGTCTGTAGCAGTAGATACCAACTCTTGGCTCAGCAAGACCAGTACTTGCTTTGACATACTTTTCATCCAGTAGAAGTGACTTGAAACAGGTTTTACCAACACGAGCTTCTCCTTGAACTACTGCTTTCGTAAGACGACACCTCACGATAGTCTTAAGTGCTTCACGATAGTGATGTAACTCTACAGACAAAAATTAAAACATTTATTATTATTATTATTATTAATAATATTAATATTATTATTATTATTATTATTATTATTAAATAAAAAAATAACGTTAATATAAAATTGGTGAAGAAACTGTCAACAGATTTTTATTTCATTATTCATAATATGCTCAATGACATGTGACAGCTAAAATGTTCCACCATTCACCAAATGTCAGTAAAAATACATGCAATGTATTTATTGTGTGATAATAATATAATACCTGGAGAATCTTTATCAATAATATTCTTTCCTAAAAATAAATATAAAAAAAGAAACTTCATATACATGTAAGACAATACATAAATTATATTACCAAAGCTTGTGTCATGTAAAACCACATAAGAATAGATACAATGTATTAAAAAATTATAATAATAATAATAACTTACTGATATAATCAGCTGCTGCTTTATCACCAATGTCCTCAAGAGCAGCACATAGAGAGGTCATTCTTGGACCTCCTTCAGCATCAACATCATCAGCTCTCTCCAACCATTTCCCTAGACACTGCCTAAGACATCCTTGTTCATCTCTACGATACTCATCCCCAATAGCCTTCAGTGTAGGATAATATAATCCTAAAGCAATACCAAGAGGTTTCCATTCCCCCTGTGAGAAGCCAGCTTCATTCAATGTGTCAAGTACATACTGTAAATCATTAATGTCCAAGAGATGACCTATGGAGTAATGGAACATAAATTAATTATTAAAATCATAAGGCTGGTTAAGGGTATGTGTCAATGGTCAATTAAATTATTATTTATTAATACAATACCGTAATTCTTCTAAAATTTCGCACCTCTAATTTCAAAAATAAATAATTTTAAGCACTTTTATTTCAAAATTAATTCTAATTATTCGTTTTGTAAATTATGATGAAAGTTCTTCTAATTTCACCATTTTCCTCCAATTTTGACACACGACAGCATTATAACACATGGACCTGTGATGAAAGAGGCCGAAAATCATGTCTAACTCACAGTGATGCCTTGAGCAGTACTCTGCTGGATAGATGACTGCCGCCATAACAGTTGGCCTAAGTTCAAGATTCAGATTGTGAAGATTATTAGTTAAGCAACAAAGAAGCATCGACAGACTTACAATATCTTGTCCAAACATGCATCATACTGCCTCCTATTTCGTCATTATTAATTGTTAGTTGGCCATAAAGGCTTAGTTTACTCTAATTATTCGTTTTCAAAATTTATTTATCAAAAGTGACTGTGGCGAATTTCTAGAAGAATTACGGTACTTATACTACTGAAGGTATGAATATCATTATATTAGTACCAGCATTGGGAGTGGTGGAGTGGGTGTGGTTATTAATACGAGACCACACCCACTCTCATTTATCTTACCTTTTCTCAATGTCCTGCTAATATATAATGTATCATCATATGCAACCACCACACCTTCCAGTGGTATAGTATACTCTAGTCTAAAAACAGCATCAAGTGTAGCATGTACTGATATACTGGAGGAGGGAGGGTCAGGATAGCCAGGTGTACAAGCCTTATCAACATCACTTCTATATATCTATTGATACACCCACACACATTAATTATATATATACATGATACAAGTACTTACTCTACAAGGTACTGTGTGAGGTTTAATAATCCATCCAGTGGTTGACTTAACTTGTGGAGTACCAAACTTTAATTCAATATAATCACCTCTTGATGGAAGTGTAGAGTCTTGCTGCTGGACAAATGTAAAGGAGATAAGTGAACCTCCCCTCGCTCCAGGGTGCTTCCTTCTCACATACTGTAAATAAAAACATTAATACACATCATGTACACAATATACTTCATTATAATATACTTACATCATCGAGTGTGTCTTCACCTTTAGCTACAGTAAATATTGCTACATATTCATTTGAACTTTTCTCCTCATATAATAAGGCTCCTATATATTTAGTATCCCTTCCTAATGTAAAGTGAAATAAAGTGAATCAAACACTGAACACTTGATACTGACCAGTGGCGGAGCTGGAACTAAACTGATGCCCGGGCCCGGATGTGGGTGTGTCCTGTTTTTAGCTTTTTCCATAGATGCTTTTTAATTTTCTTTGGGTACCGTATAGCGTCAAATTTTCGTGGTTGAAAATTTTCGTGATTTTCGTGATTGAATGGACAATCACGAAAATATTTTTCACGAAATTTAATTTTGATATAAATGTGGGCGTGTCCCATCACGCCTTTTATTTGTTTCTCGGGCACAGCTAAGAGTCTCTCCTATAAAGGGAGTCCACCTTTCTTGGTATATGTGATAGCCACGGATACACGAAGGGAATTAATAAATAATGCTACCGCTCATGTTGCTTCTTCTCCAAGTCCAGCTGCAAGGTTAGCTACTAGCGGCTACATGGATAGGAGTGGTTTTAATCATCACGAAATTTTATTTAGGCCTAAATCACGAAAATTTTTTAACGAAAATTTACTTGAAAGCAAAAATGTATGGAATCACGAAAATTTTCACCCACGAAAATTTGACGCTATACGGTATTTTACTTGAAAATGCTTGCTAATTGCTTATATGCACCTGTATGCACTTGTTAGTACTCTGGTGAGGCTTGTGGTTGGCTTTATCTAAACTTTGGGCAAGAAATTGTTTACATTGCATCTAATGAATCTCATTACAGAGCTTTGATGCCCGGGCCTAGGCCCGTGTGGGCCCGGGTTCAGCTCCGCCACTGATACTGACACAAGAGCTAACCTGATCCACCAGTGGCCATCTTGACAGTTCACTAAAGTCTATTCAGTATTCACTTTCACCTAGTCTGCCAGGCTGCCCTGGCTTTTTTCAATTAATAAATAACTACGTCACATCCGCATTCTTTACGTATTTGTGGTTTGGATGCAGATAAGTAGCAGCAAGAGTAGATTTGGTAGCAGCTGAATTTATTCTGGCTGTTCTAGCTGCATAATTGCGGTCAAAGGTATGTCATTGAGTTTATAGAGGGACATCCAAAAAAGGCTAAGGCCTTATCATTTTGACCCGATCTTTTTATCTAAAGGACGGGAAGGACCTAGCGATTCTAATGATGCAAACAAAATTTCTAAACTCCATGTTTATCAAAAGTTATAACAAAAAATCAATAGGTCAGGTGAAACTGAATAGACAGTTCACTCTCACACAACAAAATATTTACTGATCACGTGACACAAACTTATCACAACAACCAAAGAATAACATTAAACACTAAACGCATACAATAGACTCACATAACATCTCTTATTAAATAGATCTATATATTAAATTATAATAATCTGGTTTAATGAATTCAGTAATAATATCATCAACAGTACGAGACAAAGTATCTTTAAGTGAGGACTCATCAGCACTAATAATAATAATAATAATAATAATAATAATAATAACGAATATTAATATATTGTAAATGGCAGTAAAACATACTGTACTCCAGGAGGACTGAACATGTACACATAATACTTGATCTTTGGTTCAGTCCCTGAGGTCCTCAAAGTGAACTCACAATTACTATCCAAATAGAACATGATCATCTGACTACCAAGATCAACTGGTAATATCTGTTTGGAATACTAGTAATACCCACTGGTATTATAATACTAGTAAACCTGTTTGACAGGTTACACTCACTGGTTTATAGTGAGGAGGTCTGGTACTGTCATACCCAAAAGTAATATCACTGACATACACTACTAATACCAGCTGGATACTGGGATACTGTAGGAGAGAGAGAGAGAGAGGTCATTAATTATAGTTAAGTGTGTACTACTACTGGTATACATTCCCCAGTTGCTACTCCTACCTGTCAGTATAACAGTGAGACCATGTACATGTACATGGTTAAAGGCTCATTCATTATTAATTACCAGTGACAGCTGCACAGCTGTTGCTTTTATAGAATGTACACTAATATACATGAACTCCCACTACATCTTCACCTCAAGCTGTCAAGCAGGTATCTCAGTCCTCAGGTATTACATTACTTCAACACACATACTCCAGACAGGCCGGACTACATGTACATGTACATGTATAGACTAGCCTCTATATAATGGACACTTTGGACCAAGAAAGAGTGTCCCTGTTATACAGAGGTGTCCTTTAGGTGGAGGTTATTTTATACAGTAAGGAATGTCATTGGTACACTAGGTGCTGAGAGAGAGAAAGATTTTATTCAAAATACACTACCTCATTATAATTACTTGTCCATCTTTTCTCAGTCCATCAAAGACTTCTTTTATCGTTTCTTTTGAGTGACATATGAAATAAGAATTGCTTGAGACAACTCGACCATATTTTAAATAAATGTCTTCCAACAGTGAAGAGAATGTCTCTCCATTAGAGTAAAGGTAGGCGGCCATTTCTCCAGTCACTCACTCCATCTTTATCCAGTACTGTAGTACCAAACATGAATCCTATTGCTTCTTCAAAAGCAAAGACAACCTCCTCTCCTTTCTCAAGGAGGGTGTGGCTTAAGTTACCCATCCACTTGAACCCAGTGAGAGTTTCCTACAGACGAAAGAGGAGGAGAAAGAGGAGAAGCTACAATAAGAGACTAGCTGTCCCACTACCCACTAACTGAAAACTGGATCCTTTCAACTTTAGCTATTGATCGTAATAATTTTGATGAAACTGTACTGCATATTAAATGGACTTTAGAGCCTTTGAAATAATAAC